GTTACTATACATAAATACGCCGGTTCTTCCGAGAAAATTTACTTCTCTTGGTTCATTGGGTGGATTACATATGGAACATATAACAACTCCTTCGATGTCGTCATACAACTCTGGAAGCTGAATTAAATCAAAAAGTGATCTAAAAGTAAAAATAAAGTTAAAACTTGAGAAAACATTGGAAAGTATATAGCTACTGTAAAATAATTCACATAACTGATATAAGTCCGTACGTATACAATTAATGCATGGGCACAGGAAACAACTTCTAGTTAGAGAGTTCCTTATTGACATTGTTTAAACTTTAGCGCGGAACTTTGAATTAGAAACGTTGGGGAGTGGATGTACCTCCTATAGTCCTATGTCCCGATTCCTATAGCTATGTCACTGCTTATTTGATTTAAAGAAAAGCTCACCTTGCTGACTTTCTTTCTGTAACTGTAGGAAGCTCAGACTCCACAGCCACCGTTTCCGGTGAGGGGGTGATGGACAAGCAGGACATGCGATTTTCTAAGTTCTTTACAGTTGTCAGTATTTCGTCAAGCTTAGATGCAACTGAGGATTTGCTTTCTGCGAAATTGTCCTCTCCGGAGGCGCTGAGCGTTACTTTCGCGGTACTTTCGTCGGCTGTATTTTCAAAACCAGGCGGTGTTGAACCAGATGATATTGACATTGACAAGTCGGCCGTTTTAGCAGTTTTGAACAGAGGCTCTTCGTCTACATCACCATGGCCACGTTTCCGTTTGACATTGTTATCTTTGACTTTATTCCCAAATAGTTCTATAAGCGACTTCTGTCCAAGTACTCTTACTAGAGTTATGGGCATTTTTCATGTGGTCTTTTAAATTTTGAAGTAGCATCTCTTTTCGACATATGTGACATCTTTCACGTTTGCTTTTACTCCGAAACAGTTTTTTAGACGGGTTCGTAACATTTTCTATGCGTCTATCTGTGCTTTCCAACCGTAACACCTGTTGTTGATCACCCTCTTCGCAAGCTTGCAACTCATTTGAGTCATTTCCATGACAATCTTCAGTTATTTCACCGTCTGAACTTACTTGGCTTGCTTCACTGTCTTCGATACAATCAGTGATATGACTGATATTCTCCATGTTGTTTTTAGAACTTTTCACGCAAGTCAACGCAAGTTTTTAAAGTTTGTTTACTACATCTAGACAATAATGTCTCATTGTCTAGACTATAGCGCTTGACACGTTCTATTTTTAGTAGTTCCACAATTAGAACTAGACGTCCAGACCAGTGATTGGGGAAGCCAATTAGAGTCAAAATACAAAAACCTTCCCACTTCCGCTTCTGTAAATTGTTTTATATATTTCTGTAATTTGTTCTATTTTTCTGTAGCGATTACTGCTTTATCGGCAAATATCCCCTTCTTTCCTTTATATACGTCAATTTGTAGCAAAGGATACACCTTTCGTTAGATTCTTTGCATAATCTAAATTTCGCAACCTTTATGCAAAGAATATAACGAAAGGTGTATCCATTGCTACAAATTGACGTATCACGTATATAAACGAAGGAAAGCGAAATTCTACCGGACCCTATCGCGATATTTGCCGATAAAGTGGTAATCGCTACAGAAAAATAGAACAAATTACAGAAATACAAAACAAAGTTACAGAAGTGGAAGTGGGAAGTTTTTTGTATTTTGACTGTAAAACGTAAAAACTCTTCAAGTGCTCCAGACATTAAACATCTTTTGAAAATTGTTGAGGCGAGAGATACATTAACTAAATCCGTAGGCGTAGCTGAAAAATTAAAGCTATCAGCCAAAAATCTGTTAAAGCTATCTGCCAGCGAATTTCTAAAGGCAAATCAAGCTCCTAGTGAGACGCGTGTGATGGGTCTTTCTTCAAAATTTCAAATTAGAAATCTTACACCACGTAGCCCGAGTAAAAATTTCCTGCGACTGGTGAAAACTTTCCTGCGAGTGCCGCTCACGTGCTCGCCTATTTTTTCCACCCCTGCCCTCTTTCTTCATTATGCCACTGGCATTTGGCACAATCTAATGGCATTTGGATTTTGGCACAAGCTGATGGCATTTGGCACAATCTAATGGCATTTGGCACAATCTAATGGCATTTGGCACAATGTAATGGCATTTGGCACAATCTAATGGCACTTGGCACAATCTAATGGCATTTGGCACAATCGTTGTTGGCAAATGCCATGACATTACACGTAATTTAAATTAACAAAACGATTGATGGGGAGAGCAACTGCCATTGGCACAAAGTGTATTGTGTTTTTTGTTCCTAATATCTCATTGGTTTTCTGCTTCTAGGTTATTACAAAAAGTTTTAGAAATTTTTATTTTTCACAGTATCCTTAGCTAGATTAAAAGTCAATCATAAAAGTATTTTATTCAATAACTCAATAACACTCTCCAAATGCAAGAATCTACTAAAATCAAAATTCTGAAAAATATATAAAATTACAATGAAAGTTCACACAAATGTCAAATATTCTTTTCATAAAGAAACTTCAGAAAGAAATTATTGAAAACACGAAACATCTTTACTGCATGACGATTGACTTACAATTAAAGTGTTTATTTTCGGTGTTTTGTAAAATTTGAAGCTAATTTGAGGCAATGCATTGATATATAAGTGAAAAGGTGAAGGTGATAGGAACAGCCCTACCGTATTCCTTCCTTATGATCAAAAACGTCAGTTATCTGTTCTTTTATTTTAATACTGCATTCTTCTTTTAGTGTACGTTTGATGTACTAGTTAAAATATGAGCAGCAGTGTTTTATCTGATTGGAGATAAGAGGTGGAGACGATTATCTTTAGGGACTGTTCATTATTTATTATACAGGGGGAGACTCAGGAGAAACTCTACCGTTATAATATTTTTTCGGTACTTCTCCTCTTAAGAGAAGTAAAATTTTCAAAGCCCCACCTCCCTCAACAGGCAAAACAATAACATCATTTTTGGTCCCCCCCTCCTCTAGCTTTTTATCTTTATTTAGAGAAACAAAAACTCTAGTTCTTTATTTAGAGAAACAAAAATAGATAATGGGGACCAATAGACAATTCCCATTATATAGACTAATTTTTTATCTTAGCCAAAAATTTATATTCCCGGGAAGGGCATACTAAAATTAGTAAAATTGTAAAGTTTGGTTGCAAAATGTTGTAAAATATGTAGAAAATATAGCCTTGCAAAGTTTGCAAATTTTGTATACTTTTGTATTGCAATTTTCGCATGCAATACAAAAGTATAGAAAATTTGCAAACTTTGCAAGGCTATATTTGCAACCAACATTTTGCAACCAAACTTTGCAATAATTTACTTATTTTAGTATGTTCTTTCTAGCTGTGGTAATGTATTTGCATCAAGGCCGGATTTTGAGGGGAGGTAGAGGCGCGCACCTCCCCTGAGATCGTTTTGCACCTCCCCTGAGAATTTTTGCACCTCTCCTGAAAGCTCATGCACCTCCCCTTGGGAAAGTTTCAATGATGGAACAAAGTGAAAATGTGATGGTTGCTTAGTATCTACACTTCGTGATGTAAGAAAGTTCTCTCTGTAAAATTGAAACAGTGATAGCCATTCATCTGTGTCAAGTAGAGGTGTGCAAATCCGATCCGAAACCGATCCGATTTTGGAACCGAAATATTCATATCGGATCGGATTGATAAAGTTTTTCGTAGTCGGATCGGACTTCGATATTCGAAATAAAATGAATTAATTATCCACGCATTATCGCAAGAATTAATTATCCATGCATTTATCAGAGCATTATCGCAGTTGTCGCTGCATTATTCGTTTGATACTTCAGTTGGACGTCACTTTGTCAGCTTCTCATCATGTTCATGTCTTTTTTCCTCTTATATTTATTTAGTTCAATATTTCAACTTGAATGAGAAATTTATTTTATTAAAGAATTCTTCAGATCGGATCGGGATTGTTTATCAAAACTCGGATCAGATCAGATTCGAATTAGACAATTTCGGATCGGATTTTAAACGTTAGGCAATTGTCGGATTATAAACGTCCGAACCGATGCACACCTCTAGTGTCAAGTACCCTTTTAATGCAATGTTTTGAAAGAAACTTTGTAGCAATTGTAATGAAGGGCAAGATTGGAGTCATGCATTCATAATTCATTAATACAGTGGTACATAAGTACACTACATGCGTATCTCACGTCGTTGATATTGGCCTGTTCTACAATAAGCCCTAACTTTCCATGGTTGTGAGCTAGACCGCTGCACCTCCCTTGATTTCCATCTCTTTGCCTGGTTCTAAAATTAGTCTATAATGGGAATTGTCTATTTACATGAACATAAGAGACTTTTTATTTGGCTTCCATATATGAATAGTTAAGGTCTATAAACATAGTTATTTGTTGTTAAGTTGTTTTGTGATACATTTTTAAAACTACTGTTTTTTCAAGCGCCCCCCCTTCAGGTTTTAGAAAATTGAAAGGCCCCGCTGCAGTTTCTCCTCAATCCCCCCTGTACAATAAATAATGAGCGGTGAGACCTTAATTTTACCGGATGCAGAATTAGGGCTGAATATTAGGTTTAAACCTAACTATACTTTCCTTGCATTACGTATCATTTAATTTAACCATAACCATGTTCTAACACTAACGCCCCATATTCTAAAAGCTCAATCACACTCAATGAGTGGAAGTTCAATCTGAGCTTCTCTCGAGTGTTATTGCTGTTTTTGAACAGCTGGAGGGCTAATGTCTTAAGGCATCTCCAGTCCTCGCACGAAGCTCCTCGCAGCTCGCTGCGAGTGCATGCATGAGCACTTTCATCCAATCACAATGCTAAACAGTTCATTTTAATTAGGTGCAAGCACTCGCAGCGAGCTGCGAGGAGCTTCGTGCTAGGACTGGAAAACCGCCTTTACTATGTGACTACTCACCCTCCAGCTATTCAAAAACAGCATTGACACTCAAGAGAAGCTCAGATTGAACCTCCCCACTGCCAGCGACTCTCTAAGGTTAACAGAGAGGGACCCCCAAATAGGGTTGGGCGATATTTCGATTTATCGCGATATTTTCAATCACGATTATCGCATCGTAGGTAGAAACTTGAGCAACGATATATCAAAATTATCGTCATGCTCGTTGACTATATTGTGATATTGCTTCACATGTGCATATAGTTTTTATAAAATCCTAAAAAATATTTTCAATTCCTAGAAAATATAGTTTTTAAAAGAATTAAAACTATTTCCTGAATTAAATACGAATTTAATACGATACAAAAGCTAATATTTATGTATTAATCTGCTGAAATTGCACGCTTTGCTTGTGCTGTGTGCCCACAGCATTTGTGCCAGCAGAGACACAGTAGACACTGCATAGACAGTTCTGGTTTATGAACAGTAAATATTAGACTAGAAAAAGCCTTCATATTACTTTAATTTGTTGTTTTACTTTTTTAAATAAGATTATATATAAGCTTACTATGTTTTGATATTAATTAAAATTGAAAAAATGGTCATTGTATGTATTGCATTTATCGCGATATTATCGAATATCGTGATAATTTCCTTGACAATAATCGTGAGATGATTTTTTTAATATCGCCCAACCCTACCCTCAAATCCCGAACACTGCATAGGGCAACCAACCGCAGCCGATGCGAACGACAAGAGGAAACAACAAAGAAACAAGCGTGGTGGGAGATACGTGAGATAAGGAGGGAAGCACGAAGCGACGGAAGCCGAGACCATGTTGCTTCCTACTAACATATTCATGCGAACATATACAAATCACTCATGCATAATTCCCTCAGCGCCTCTTAATTAGCTGTTAACTTCCTTTATCGTATCGATAAAATACATTTGTATTTACATTATGAATGAACTTAATTATGATATTCACTAAAAACTATATCATATTAAAGCATACTAAAAATATTGTAGCTATCATCAACGAATCGAGAAATTCGGTATCGTATAAAGTTTCTAGTCATTAAAAAACAATATACTGTACTATAAATTATACTTAGAAATTATGTCGTACCAAATATGTAGAGCAAAACATAATCCGAAAATTAGCAACTTAATTGATTTCGTCCAGCGAACAATCTACAGCGATATCTGAATTTCATACCTTACAAGA